CTGGTTTGTCCTCTCCCATAGTAGTTTGTTGCTGATAGTGTCTGGCTAACGGATTCGAAGTATTTTGCGTAGACAGCTGTAAATAAACACTTGTATCTTCTGGATGACGGCTTGTGCAGTTCTCCAGGTTACCGCGCCATACAGTAGAACTGTCTTGACAGTTGTATTGAAAATCCTGACCTTGCTGTTGGTTGACAGTTGTTTTGAGTTTTAGATGTTCTTTAGTTGTAAATATGCTATTCTTGCTTTGCCAGTCTGCGCCTTCACATCTGCATCAGATCCACCATGTTCATCGGTGATGCTGTCCAGATATGTAAAGGTTTTTACATCTTCCAAATCTTCTCCGTCAAGTATTATTTGATTAGTGCATGTTATATCGTATCGGAGAATCTTGCTTCCCCCTTTCTGTATGTTGAAACCTAATGCTGTTGAAGCTGCTGCTACACTGGTTGTCTTCTGCAATTGTTGTTGCGTGTGCGATAGAAGAGCCATATCATTTGCGAAGTCTAGATCGTCCAGCTGCATCCTAGACGTCAACTGTATCCCATGCTTCCCCCGAGATGTCGTCTTCATGATTCAGTCGATCACCAGAAGAAAGAGAAAGGGTGAGAGTAAGCAACCTTGCCTGACACTCGTCTTTACTTCGAACGAGTCTGTCAGCTGTCCTCCATGCACGATTTTGCAGTTTGATCCATCATGGGAATTCCGTATGGTGTTGATTATATTCTCAAGCACTCCGTATTGTTGAAGAAACCTCCTTAGTGTTCTGTCCACTCTATCACATGCTTTCTCGTAATCAATAAAGTTGATGTAGAGTGGTAAATTCCATTTAATTGTTTGTTCCACAATGATCCGTAGTGTTGTAGATTGGTCGGTACCTGATCGATCCTTGCGAATCGAGCCTGTTGATCTTAAAGTTTGGCGCCCACAGAATCTTTCATTTTTTTATCAATACCCTGTTGAAGACTTCTCGGTATTAAGAGAAGAGTGATGCCTCTGTAGTTGCTGAGATCGCCTTTCCTCGGTATTTTGTTCAAAAGTCCTTCTTTCCAGTCTCTTGGTACTTGTTCATCATCCCAAATCTTATTGAAGGGAATGTGGAGTATCCTTGCAGTTGCCGCTACGTCTGCTTTTAGTGCCTCTGCTGGAATGTTGTCCGGTCCTGCTGCTTTGCCACTCTTGATTTGTCTGATGGCCATCCTTATCTATTCAATTGTTGGTGGGCCAACATTGATTGGGAGGTCTGTGGGTGCTGCTTCGATGTTGGGTGGGTTCAGTGGAGCTGGTCGATTTAAGAGTTCTTTGAAGTGTTCTACCCACCTGTTTCGTTGTTCTTCAATGTTGGTGATTACCTCGCCTTCTTTGCTTTTCAATGGTCGTTCTGGTTTGCGGCGATTTCCAGAGATTTTCTTTGTTATGTCATACAGTTGTCTCATGTTTCCTTCTCTTTCAGCCTTTTCCGCCGTCGTTGCTAAATCTTCCACATATTTACGTTTGTCGGTTCTGATGCTCCTCTTCACTTGTTTGTTTACTTCTGTGTATTCAGCTTGTGCCTTGGCTATTTCTGCTCTTGTTCGACTGGTATTGATTACTGCCTTCTTGTTCCTCCTTTCTTGAATCTTATCCAGTGTATCAACAGTGACCCATTCCTTGTGGTGGTGCTTCTTGTGGCCCAGAACCTCATGACATGTTGAAGTGATCGCCTCTTTGATCCTTCTCCAGCTGCTCTCCATAGTACTTTTCCCTCCATTGAGTGAATCGTGAAAGGCCTGGAACTTGTTGCTGAGGACTATCTTGAATTTGTTGAGTTTGTTAGTATCCTGAAGAAAGGCCGTATTGAACTTTTGTGATATTGTCCGCCCCGTTGTCCAGTGTTTCTTAAGTTTCAACTTTATCTTGGTGACCAGCAAGTGATGATCTGATGCTATATCAGCTCCTCTCTTGGTTCTCGTATCCTCCATCGTCCTCCTAAGCTTTTTGTTGATGCAGATATGGTCGATTTGGTTTTGTGTAGTATGATCCGGTGAAGTCCATGTGGTTTTTTGTATGCGTTTGTGTGGGAATATGGTGCCGCCTATAACCAGTTTATTGAAGGCACATTGGTTTGCAAATCTCTCACCATTTTCGTTCCTTCCTCCTAGTTCATGTCGTCCCATGATGTCTTCATATCCAGTGTTGTTCATTCTAAAGTTGGCATTGAAATCTGTCATCAGAATGGTCAGGTCCTTTGTTAGGCACTTCTCGATGATTGATTGCAGCCTATCATAGAATTGGTCTTTAACGTCTTCATTGTAGTCGCTGGTAGGCGTATAGCATTGGATGAAGTTCATTGAGATGCCCTCTTTGTTTGTTTTGGAGGAGGCTTTAATGATCCTTGGTCCATGAGATTCCCATCCTATAAGTGGATTTTGTGCTTGTTTTTATAGCATCAATGCAACTCTTTGTGTATGTGGAACTTTTCTTCTTTATGACCAGAGTATAACAGAACCTCTCCTGAAACTAATCGTTGTTGTCCAATGTGTTTCACTGATCCCAAGCAACTCTAGGTTGTATCTCGTCATTTCTGCAGCAATTCGGAAGACTCTCCCGGTCTCCCGTATTGTACGAGCAGTCCATGTACCTAAATAAATGGGTGCTTTGGTTGTCAGAATGGGCATTAGCCTCGTGGATTCCGAAGGAACTCGGCTTTCATCATGAGGCGTCATAATTCTTCTAAATGAAGACCTGTTTCCCAGGGCAGAGTTTAAGTGGTTTGAATAATTTTCCTCTGGCTAGCGTTTTTTAGCGAGTTGGTTTTCTACGAGATGGGGTCGGCAACCCCACACCCAACTCTCCTTTATCCGGGCTTGGGACCGGCAATAGCCTCAGAGAGGCTACTGACGGATTTTTCTTCGTGATGGAGTGTAGTTATTCCCAAATTGTATGTCCTATCCACCTCCAACATCTTTTCCTAACCTACTTTTCATCTGGGAGCTTGTTTGTCCGCTAGAATAGTAGGTTGTTGCTAATAATATCCAGCCAATTTACCTGGAGTATCTGGTGTAGACAATTAGTTATAAATACCTGTACATTTTTGATGACTGTGGTAGTTCTTCACTTTTCGGCTTCATACAATATAACTGTCTTGACGTTTGTATTGAACGTTCTGACTTTGATGGAGGCTGAGGAAATTCCACCTTTGCTTTGCCAATCTTCGTGTTTACGTCTGCATCAGATCCTCCTTCTTCATCGATGATGCTTCCCAGTTACGTAAAACTTCCGACCTGTTCCAGGATTTCTCCATCAAGTGCGTGATGGTCTCTGTTGTTTTTCAGAATCTTGCTTTTTTCACCGGGCATGTTCAAGCCTACTCTTACAGTGGCTGCTGCTTTGCTGATTGTCTTCACCTTCATTTGTTGCTATGTATGGGATAGAGGGCCTAGAATATCTGCGAAGTCCAAATCGTCTAGTTGCGTGCAAGCTGTCTGTTTTATTTCGTGCTTCTCCACTGCTATCATTGGTGGTTGTATCGCACTAGATAATACTCATTATCATACGTTCCTTTGTTTAGAATGCTTTGATTTTTCTAGTCCCATAGAACTCCCATCTCATATGTGCTTTTCGTGCTGCTTTTGCGTTTCCTTCAGACAATCAGCATAACAGCGATGCTGCCTTCCTACAAGGAATTGTGAGGTTGGAAAAGGTTGACCCTGAAAATGCACACTTCACCTTATCCCACAGAATTCTGTCTCCGGTGACAAAGTTCCAATAGCACGAAAATTACTCACAAGAATGTCGTGTGTGACCGACCTCAAGCAGTTGTCCTTTGGGCACTGGGGTCACGCTCTAGTGTACAAAACACTCTCAGGTTTACTGAAACCTCCCTCCAAACTACACATTGAAGCTTTCAACGTACGCCCACTATGTCAAATCGGTCAGTAGACCTCCTTGGCTAAAACCTTAGAATCTCGTACCACTGATGTATGCTGTGTCTCCAAAGCACTCATAAGGATCCTAGTGTGCTCATTTACTTGACCTCACCTTGCCAGAACGAAGAGTCGACGAGATACACCATCCGTTTTTCTGGCGACCCAACGGCAAATTATCATGGATTGGCAGGTGTAGGCATAGCATTGAGTACGAAGCACAACAAGCACTAGAATGAATTCCCATTAACAGTCGCCTAACAGTGTAAATTGTTCACTCTATTCTTTGTTGGTCTGAAATACTTGTGATGTATTTTTTGTCCATAATTTCAAATATCCATGTTCAATCTTCACTTCTCATTTATAGGTATCAACGCCAAGTTTGAGCTTGACAGTTTCAAATAAATTGGGCATCAAGTAGAAAGTTGATAATAAATTTATTTTTTGTTATATCCCAATGAGTAGAAAAATTGTATTTTTGACGCTTTGTGACTTAACCCAAGCCACTTCTTCAAAGTAACTAAATAACCGAATTCACTTCTCATTGTTTTGTATTGCGTCCGCGTCGCTTATTACTTATACTTAAAACGGGGAATCACTATTATTCCCACGACGCGAAGTTAGAACTTGGAAGATTAGTGTAAGTGAAGATTTACTGACTGCAAAATAAATTCGATGACCTTAGTTGGAAATTCATTGATTTGTACACCTATTTAATTAGTTATTAGGGAAATGTCACATAAATGAAATTATAACGAAATCACATGCTGCGCATCATGCTAAGCATAGTTCGCCTTAATTCATATCTCAAGAATATCAAATCTTGAATATGGATCTCACTGAAATAAATCAATGTTGTACTGAATAAACTATCACACTGAAAGCAAAACAAATATTATACTGAATAATCATATTGAATTTAAAACCGAAGTAATGTTGAGCAAGAATCATGATGTGCTAGAAATGCAATCCTTTCATTCCGTTTTTCACACAAACGTATCATCCGGATATTTGCCAAATCTTCACCTTTCATTTTATTGTTTTGTTGCATAGAATTTGTGACAATTTTATCTAATTTTATTTCTAAATATATAGGAACTCACTGCACACGATATTGATGTCCACAATGTCATTGTAAATCAACTATTGTTTCCAAATTTATTATCATCATGTGATGTCTCACCTAAGGATCATTCGAATGAACCTCCATCTAATTGTCGAATGTGCTTAGCACGTCATCGAATACAATCGAAATATCTGGAACAAATTTTAGAACTATATGAAGACATGCATGTCATACAATTACCTCAATTAGAAAATGAGGTAAGAGGAATCAAGTCTGTTCAAGAATTCTCCGAACTTCTTTTAAACCCTTACCGTAGGAAATAAAAATTATAGGATTTGCACGTTATTTGTAAAAATGATGTCGTTTGTACACTTTTGTAATTATTCTTTCCTTTGAAAAAATATTAAACGTTTTTTTCTAATGAACTGATTCGAAAATAACATGCATGTTAACAGTTGTTTCTTATTTCTTTAGCACTGAAAGCATCCTTAATAAATTTTCATTTTAAGTTAATTTTTAATTTGTTTATGTAATTGGTTCCAAAAATCCGTTCACTAATATAATTGACACATTTTCAACAGAGATTATTATAATGCATAGGCGGCTGAAAAGGGATTTTGAATTTTTATTTTGAAGTTTCTGTGTCTGTTGCATGTGTAAGATATTTGAATATTCATTTTGATTGGTGCATTTTTGGATAATGTAATTACATATTCAGTAATTGTACTTTCAGGATCCTAATCAACTCAGAAGACGTACTGAAAGTCTTATATTTAGTTCCTATTTAAACAGCTAGTTATATTCACTGTTTTTTACGCTGTTTTAAATGTACGTCACGCGTTGCCTTAGAAGTTGCAACTACTTTAAACAAAACGTAAATCTTTCGGAGAAAATTTCGAAACGCACGACCAGAATCGTTATAAGGCTTTATGATCTCAGACGGCTAGAGTTATTCGTGTTTAGCTACAAAGAGATGCGACATTACAATCTTCATACTATCTACCAACCACTCAGAATGGATTCTACTTCTTGTTGGGAATAAGTACTGTACGTAACAATCTCCAAAGCAACATAAACACAGTTTCACCAGTAGATTAGTCCAAGCTCAAGTTAGGTGTGTCGTATTCAAACGAATCTGTAAATGGTCTACTACTACGCACAATGTGGCTCCTAGCAGTGACACGGGTATAATCAGCCAATCCACCGAGCTTGAACTGACGATATTTCTGCTTTTGTCAACTACCTAGTTTTAGCCCTGAGGCAGGAATTATGTAAACCTTTAGCTACCAAGCATTTTCAAACAGCCTGAGTGGAACATTGAATTAAGCCTTCCGACTTTCATCGAAATTAAAAAAACTATTGCTGATCTGAAACGCAGAAGAGCAGCTGGTCCACGTGGAGTGACTCCAGAGGTTTTTAAGAATGGTGGTCTAGTTTTAGCAATCAGACCAACTAATATTTTAGCTTAAATCTGGTAGTTCATCTTGTTGTGCTAATGATAAGTCTTGCGGATTATGAACGCTATATTCGTCTTCTAAGCTATTCTGTAACCCCCAAGCTAGAACTATACAGCGACCTGAACACGAGAGAGAAGACTCAAAGTATGCGAGAAGTAGTTTACTCCAAGATTCATTCTATTACAGAAAATATAGGGTTTTTATAATATTTTAAATGTCCTTGGGTCGCTGGAATATTCTGGAGTGCTACTAAACATAGTAGCAGTGTAGTAGCCAACCAATCAGAGCCTCCACATGTGACGTTTCGCTACCTTGATATTTCTGGCCAAGACTCCAAGTGAACGCTGATTGGGCGGAACGCTTCTTAGTGTTTCTTGATACTTGCTTGTGTTTTGCAAGCAATTTCTGGACCACCCCAACACCTCCCCTTTCAAAAAATAAGACTTCTTCAAGTCTACTTGTAGTTTTATAACTGGTTTCCTGCGGCGTTCGGATTTTCTGGGTATCCGGCGTCTATGAGTATCTGTTGGCGTCCCTGTCATTGGAGTATCTAATTATATCCAGCGGAAGCCTCACTTGATTATCTACCCTGTCTAGAGTCCTTTTCTCTCTGTGTATTTGATAGTGCCTAGTCGACACTCCGCCCCACACCTTGTTAACGCTCATTTTCTTTTTCCTAATAAAGTGCTCTTTCTTAACAAACACCTTAGAAAAAGAAAATTAGACTGAGTAATCATGCCTTAAACATTCCTTCATGAATATTGGCTACTCTGCCTCTCGTCCTTTCTTTTACTTGCTCCCTCTTTCAGCCCCCTTGAGATATGGAACGGGTGACTTCATCCTGCACCATCTTCAAAGCCTAAGACATTCCAAAGGGACATAGGGTTGCGACATTTAGAAGCTCCCACCTTCAGTGGACCTATCCTTGACCATCAGTTGCAAATTTGCAACGCAACTTTCATGAAGCGCGCCAACCGTGGTGCTGATTAAAACCATTCTACATTCATATCTTATAAATTATCAACCCAGCTATGTAATTTACTACAGTGTATATTGTGTCATTTGTGTCAGTTTGATCTTGACTATAAACTGGCATGCCTCATGTAACAAACTGTTATTTGAGAATTAATTATTATTTAAAAAGGAGAGTGGTATTTTTTCTCGCTGAGTAAATTTCATCGTTTTGATCGTTTATTACGTATCAAGACTACTGTTTTCACTTTATTTGAATTCATTTCATTTAAAGTGTTCGACTAGAGTACCGTTTCACCGCTCTCTCAATTACTTTTTTCGTTGGTACTCTTGAGTACCTCATTTTCAATTGTATCTGTTAGTACTTTTGGTCCTAACAATCTACAGCTCTTCGCTTTTTGGTCATTGATTATTTTTTGTTTTTGAGTATCATCGCATCTCGTCCTTTTTTGGAAAGCACTACTTTTAAATGACGGGACTATACTGATGATGTCACAGGTATTCAGTGTTTGACAACGCTTCTACCAGTAACACCTTCTAATATATTTCGTTCCCGCCCAGAGAAATCAAAAGACAGAGTCGAGGAGATCGGAAGAGTATATTTGGCGATGACCAATATATCGGAATTCTCTGATCTAATCTGGCTAGCGATTGCGGTTGATGTTGAGCACGGCGTTACCACACGTGATCTGGTGCGGATGACTGACCGAGCGCCTTCAGCTAGATGAGTCCACTAAAACATATGGTCAGCATCCAATGTCGAAAACTTAGTGCTATTTATTTTGGGGATTTATTTACCGCTACAGATCACTCCCCCCTTAGTGGGGCAGTGACGACCCTAAGACGTGGCCAGCCAGAAGTTTAAACCCAACGAGTTTGTCGTTGGTAAACACTCTTCTGATAGCTTACTAAATTTAGCAGCGTCTGGTCGTCTTTCCTTACTATATGGGACGGAGGTACAACATAGTAAAAAAAGAAAATGTACATGGAAAATTTCGGATCCTCATAAACGTCGTCGTTCTTTTCCAGCCGTCCTGGAAAAGAAAAAAGAAAATGTAAGTGCATGTCGAAATACACTCGTATGTGCGTAAAAGCACAATGTCGGCGGAAAAAAATGGAAAATAAACTCATGAACACGTAATAGCGTTAAAAAAATTGTTTTTTTGTTTTGTTTTTTTTTAAATAGAAATAAAAATATATAAGCATATTAAAATTGTTTTTTTTTTAAAAATAATATAAAATGTCGAGAACTTAGTGCTATTTATTTTGGGGATTTATTTACCGCTACAATACCAAGGAGACCGAGAAACTCTTGTTTCACTAACTTATTAGTGGCTTGTGAAAGCTGGTGCTCTCTTAAGGACCAAAAGTTACCTGTAGACGTAGCCTTCGTTGATTTCAGCAAAGCTTTTGACAAGGTTCCGCACAACCGACTGTTATACAAGTTAAGAAATGTCGGGATTGGAGGCAATCTATTTATGTGGATAAAAGACTTCTTAGTTGGGCGTCAGCAAAGAGTTCGGGTGAACTCAAAGTTATCTAGCTGGGAAACCGTGCTTAGTGGAGTGCCCCAGGGTGCAGTTTTGGGGCCAGTGCTATTCCTCTTGTATGTAAATGACCTTCCTCGTCTCCTATCATCATCGGTCTTGCTATGTGCTGACGATGTCAAGATATGGAGAACGATATGATGTGAGGGTGATAACTTAGAATTCCAAAATGACCTGCAGAAATTATCTGGATGGTCTCAAACCTGGCAGTTGCCGATAAATACTTCCAAGTGTGTTGTGATGCATATCGGTCATCAAGGTACAGATACGTACACAATGAATAACACTGAGCTACCTGTCGTCCAGACATATAATGACTTAGGAGTCATCGTTAGCCAAGACTTGAAGACTACTGCACACTGCCGTGCAATAGCCACCAAAGGTTTTGGAACGTTATGGTCAATACGTAGGGCTATTAGTCATGTCGACACTAAGACGATTTTGACTGTGTATACAGTGTTCGTACGTCCTAAACTTGAGTACTGCATACAAGCGGCCAGCTCCTGCTTGAAAAAAGACAGTGAGTTTCTGGAAAAGGTTCAGAGAACGGCAACTAAGCTGATTCCCGGAATAGCGAAGCTTCCGTATGAAGCTCGACTGGCAAAGCTGAACCTTTTTTCGTTGTCATATCGCAGAACTAGAGGCGACTTGATCACATATTTCAAATTGCTTAGTGCCAAATTTGCACCTGATATGCCCTCATTTTTTGTCTTCCAAAACAGAGAATTTACGAGGACACTCCAAAAATGTTCACAAGCCAAGAACAAATTACTTGTCAGCTGACTATCGACTTTCTCATCGAATCATCAACGAGTGGAACTCATTACCTCAGCACGTGGTTGAAGCTCCATCCGTCGATTCTTTCAAAAGAACGTTGGATCAACTGAGGGACCACTATTGCCAGGACTAACATAGGCCATCAGGCCTCCTGTCCTTCCAAAACTGAAACTGAAACTGATACCTGCTACACCATCAAAATTAAATTCATGGATGGCATTAATGACTGAATCAGTATGGGATAGTTGCGATTCACCGGGATCAGGGTTCTGCTGGGACAGACAAAATTTCTGCATCATGGCTTCCATGATTCTGATTTGAGATTGTTCAAACCTCTTTTCTTGACGCTCCATATAGGCTTCTAGTCAGTCCAAGGAAATATTCATTGTAGTTTTCATCCCATTCCCGTCGCCACTGATAGGTCCTGCGGATTATGAACGCTATATTCGTCTTCTAAGCTATTCTGTAACCCCCAAGCTAGAACTATACAGCGACCTGAACACGAGAGAGAAGACTCAAAGTATGCGAGAAGTAGTTTACTCCAAGATTCATTCTATTACAGGGGTTTTTATAATATTTTAAATGTCCTTGGGTCGCTG